TGATGAGCTTTCGTGGGCCAGACCCACTTCCTCAGATCAAATAGTGGAAGAAAATAGTCACAACCATATATACCAAAGGATACAATTTAAAAAATTGTTTTTAAATTGTATCCTTTGGTATATACGGTTGTGACTATTTTCTTCCACTATCAGATCAAAGGAAGTGGGTCTGGCCCACGAAAACTCATCACCTAATAAACCATCTTGCTAGTCTTTAAAGTGCTACATAGTCCTGTATTTTGCTTTTGAAAAAAGGCGTTATTCCTCATAAAATGAGGTTTTCCACTGTAGAAAAAACTGCCGCGTTCTTTCAATTTACTTTCAAAAGAACGTGGCAGCAGTCTAGACGCAGAGGAAGTTTTTTCGAAAAAATGCCACTTTTTAAAAAAACAAACAAACCTGTAGTCTAGACACACCTTTCCTGATCTGCAAAGTAGTTTTAGTCTGGCTGATACCCCAATTGGTGATTTGACTGAAAAATACAGATGTGAGCTGAATCCTTATCCATAGGAGAAATAATTTCCTTTTTGGCGCCATGGCACAATCTCCTTTGGTTAAAGGTATATCCCCCCAGGTGGGGAATTTAATTCATAGTTTAGGGATCCTGTATTCCTTACTAGTATTTAACCACTCATTGCTACCTGAGGCTACATCTGTACTATGAGTACATTGACTCTGAGATCAATCCACTGGTAGGGATGTGAATGAGTAGTCGACTACCCAATAAGCAGGAGCCTATCAGGTAACACTATCGATGACTCAGTTACTCCCCCCCTCGCCTCCTTCCCCTCCGGTGCCACTCTGCACTCTTAAAGGGACAGAGATGCAGCAGCTGGTCCCATGGGTGTCTCAGCACAAGCCCCCCTACTTCCCTATTGTCATTCTGCTTTTTTAAAGGGACAGCAGTGGCAGCTCATCCTGTGGCTCTTTCTCAGCACATTCCCTCCCCCCCGACCCCGCTCATTCCCCCATTGCCACTTTGCACTCTTAAAGTGAGACACATCCACGGGAAAGGCGTCTGCTTCTCTGTCCCTTTCAGAATGCAGAGTGGTAGTGCAGGGGAGGGTTGTCCTGAGACTGCAGGGGACCAGAGACTGAGCCAGCATCTTTGTGTGCCGGCTCCTCTCTGTCCCTTTAAGAGTGCAGAGCGGCAACAGGGGAATTGTAAGGGCTTGTGCTGAGACCTGGAAGTGAGCATTTCCCTAACTTGCATCGACTACCCGACTAGCAAATTAATCACTACTTAATATCCCTTTCCACTGGCGGTCAATTTATCAACCATAGATTGCTTAGCAGTTGACCTATGTTACTCTACTCCAAATGAGCAGAGTAAGGGAAGTAAATGGAAAAGTTTGTCCTGTCCGTCCCGTGGTGGTGTAGGCCCCTGAACCTAAGGTATGTCAACTCCAGCGATGTTATTCGTGTAGCTGGAATTGCATACCTTAGTCAACTTCCTACAGTAGAGTAGACCTAGTATATGAGTTTAGTTCTTCCTCCCATCTCTGGTTGGCTAAGAGATGTAATTCTATCATGGACAATTAACAGACTTCATTATTAAGGATTTTGTCACTTCCCAGTTGAACTACAGCAGTGCAACATACCAGGACATGAAGTCATCAGCAGGGCTTGACAATTAGGGCAATCTACTCGCCCGT